GCCTGGAGCTGCCACAATCTCTCAGCCAGCTGAGGCCTGGGCTCCTACCGGAAATCAGGATGCTCTATGGAACAAACTGTGCACATGGATACTGTTGTTGTTTGCTTAGTTAGCTTGAGATGTCCTCACTGTAGCCCAGACTGGCCTTGGAACCCCTAATGCTTCATAGCTTCACCTCTCAAATGCAGGGCTCGGAGGGACAGACCACCGTATGCCACTCCAAACAGTTGGTCAATCTTCTAAATAAAAGTGTGGACAAAATGGAGAATTTCCCACGCCATAGTAAAAATAACAACCAGGAAGGAATGAGGAAGGTTGTGTGACTCTGAAAGCGGCCGTCTATAAGTACCCAACAAAAGCCTGAAGGAAGAGGAGGCTTAAGTTATGTTTATTCAAACTACTTCCTCGGCTCCCCCAGTTTCAAAATCACAATCTGGTGGGGTTCTTTTCTACTCTTTATTTCTGAATGTAAGAATACACATACTTAAAGCTTTTCCTAACAGGGTTTTGACAAAAATAAGGATTAATATTTATTTGATGACAGGGAGTGGATCAGCTGTTTTTCTCTCACTACTCAAAAAAGGAAAACTCCAAAGTGAAACAAAAATCTTTTTTTTTTTTTTTTTTTGGCACACGGACATTATACCACAGTAGAAAATCCCACATCTAACGGTATGTGGTAGGTCATAATCAAAATGCAGACACACTGAAAACACTGTATAAAGTTACTTTCATGATATGGGTATGTGTTTATAGGAAACACAACTAAATTTGGTGTACAGACTTAGGTCCCTTCCCCCAGATATCTCATTGCATATATAAAGATATTCCAAAAGCCTAAAACGTAAAATATTTCTTGTCCCAAGCACACTAATAGAGGCGATGTAACCTGCATTTCAATTTTTTTTTATAACAACTCGGTAATGAAAGCACTGACCTACTTTTCAGGCTACGGACTGAAACACTAGACACCTGCCTAGCCCTGTAGGTAGTAGATGGCACGGGGGTTTCAAAAGTTTGCAGCCCCACTAGCCTGTTTTTAGAAGGCAGGTGAGGTCTGCAGAGGTAAGACACTGTTAGCATGAGCTACACTGCTAACTAACGTAACAGGCATGTGGAGAGCGGGACAAGATGGGAATGAAATGCAGACCATGAGTAGGGCATGTATGTTAAGAAGGTGCAGAGTTCCTAGCGTGGTCCAAGCATGAAGGAGGCAGGGAAAACCTGACCACGGCCTCGTAGGATTGAGGGGAAAGTGGAGAACAATTTCAGGTGCGGTGGCAATGAGAGCATCCGTTCTTTCCGGCCACACCCCACACCGTAAGAAGCAAGGAAGGAAATGTCCATAATGTGTGACATGAAGAGAAGGGAGAAGGACAATAGGGGGCGGTCTGGAACAACTCCAAAGCTTCGCAGTGGAGAAAATCAATTAGCTAAGTCACAGTTTTGAGGTAAAGAAGATACCAGTGAATTTGGGGCTCAGATAAGACACTCAAGTAGAAAATGTGTAATAAGTGGAGAGTGTGGAGCATTGCTGTGAAAGAGTCAACAGCAGAGGGGCTGGAGAGATGGCTCAGTGGTTAAGAGCATTGCCTGCTCTTCCAAAGGTCCTGAGTTCAATCCCCAGCAACCACATGACAACCATCTGTAATGAGATCTGATGCCCTCTTCTGGCCTGCAGGCATACATGCAGACAGAATATTGTATACATAATAAATAAATATTTTTAAAAGAAAGAGTCACCAACAGGGGACACAGAGATGAAAGAGGGCAAGACTTAGACAGAGACAGCCACCAGCGGCAGTATGACAGACACAAGGGCAAGGCAGGAGCAGCTGAGACCCTGAGCGTGCGAGGAAGCGAGCCCTTAGAACTCTATCACATCAGCACAGGACTCTGAAACAAAAGAACTATCTTATTAATATAACAGAACACTCAAACTGGTATTTTGAAAATGGGGAGAATGAAGGGTATCTGGCCCAGTTCTGACAAAGCAGTCTCTTCTGCTTCCTGAGGCCCTCCATCTCCTTAACATGACGCGCTTCCACGCTGACAGACTCTTCTTGAGTAGATCGGCTAGTAGAAATAGAGGAACCCTGAGGCAGCCTGGAGTCACTTGCTCCCCACATTTCCACCCGCACTTCACAATTTAGAGCTTGTTGGTGTCTTCCCTACAGCACTCCTGCAGATGTAGCTACTCACAGCCCACATCACTTGACCATGACCGCCATGTCCAGAGTTAGAGCCTCCTTGCTGGTTTTCCGTTGCCTAAACTCGCTGCCTTCCCAGGTGAAGTGCTACGGTCCACCCTGCCCCCCTTGACCATGGTGGTCTGCATCACCCAGTGTCGTGAGCTCGGAGTTGAGGAAGCTGACTTTACCATCAGAACTCTTCACACCACAATATTTTCCTTCCCACTGTCAGCTCTTCTAACCTTCTAGCCTTCCCATGTTCTACTTCCAAAATCTACTTCATTTTCCTCTCCAGTATGTAAAATCTTTGGCATACTTGCTTCTGAGCTCCACACATTATTTTATGGAACAAACATTCTCGGCCTCTTTTTCCAATTTCAGACAACTGGAGCAGATCTAAACCTCAGAAGAAACAAATCACTGACTTCAATTGTGGCTGACCCCCATCCTACCTCCCCAGCCCCGCCTCTCCACCCCCAGTGCCCAGGTCAATTAGCGCCAAGTTTGCACTTTTAAAATGTTTCCCCCCCTATCCAGAGGTATGGATTTATCTACCCTTTCTGCAAAGTTTCCTATATTCTTCTATCATCACTATGCTTAAAGGGCTTCCTAGGATCTAAAGGAAGCCACTCGGCCATAAAGTTGGCATCACTTTCAAGCCACCAACTAGTTACGCTTTCTCAGAAATAAGTCAAGGTTGTTTTGTATCTTTCTCTATACTGTAAGACACACATGATCAGCAAGCAAGAGTCTGTATTTATTCAATTCTCTAGGTGAAGTAGAACAAAGCTGGTAGCGGATTTTGGGGCAGCATCCCCCATCAGTGTTGTGCCTTGCCTCCATAGATACAGCTGCCAAAATGATCATCAGCATTTGATACCAAACCTGAGATCTTGCAAGAGCCTCCATTTATAAATGACAAGACGTGGTGAGAATGGCTAAGTTACTGCTACTAATGATAACAGCAAAGAGAAGAGCGGTTACAGATATTAAGAAAACCTACACCATATCAAAGATACCAACAACAAAAATGGAGTAAGTGGTCGAGGAAAAGAATCATCATTTTAAGAAAATGATTTGGTTCAATAAAACATCTACTGTCCCTAATTTTGAAGTGTATTTCCTGTTTACAAAGCATGGCATATGGATCTACCATTTTATGGCTCCTGTGCTTTCTCCCTGACATCAACTCTTACATAACTTTAAAACCAGCTGAGGAAGAGCTTCCTTCCGAAATCCTCTTCTTTAAATCTCAAGACAGAATTTGCTTCATCCCCTTGTTCCTACGGTGTATTTTTAGCTTCTAAGACTCTACGGCGCTCTATCCACCTGTAATTATGCCGCAGAAGCATCAGAAGACGCCAATGAAAAAAGGCCAGTAGCAGACAAGATAGCCAAAGGCCTATTCACGGTCTTGACAGCTGCAGCGGGGCAGGGCATGCCTGGCAGAGTTCCCAACTCCCAAGAGCGAGACTTCCTCTCAGATCAGACCTCAGTGTGGGACATGAAGCATTCTCCCAGATTCCAGAAGGACTGGACCGGAAGGGCGATAAGGAAAAGGCACAAGCAGCTCAGCTTGCTGGAGGTGGCCTTCTGCACAACCCTCGGGAGCCTGGAGGAACACCAGGCAGCGCCCCCACCCTGCTTCTCCAAACAAAGCAAACCAAGGCCAGACTGTAGCTTTAGCTTCAGTTTGGAAACAATGCTCATTAGTTTTGAATATTTTTTTCTTTCCCCCACCCCCAAATGAGTAATTAATCTGAGCTTTACCCAGAACTACAGAAACGAGATGCTGCCAAGCAAGACCTTTTGTAGGCAATGGGCAACACTCTCTAATAGGTGGCTCAATGTGCAGAATTTCTTTCTTTTTTTTTCCTTTGGTTTGTTTTTCGAGACAGGGTTTCTCTGTGTAGCTTTGGTTCCTGTTCTGGAACTCGCTCTGTTGATCAGACTGGCTTCGAAGTCACAGAGATCCGCCTGCCTCTGCCTCCCTCGTGCTGGGATTAAAGGTCTGTGCCAACAACACCTGGCTCAGAATTTCTTTACGTAAAAGGTCATTACTGTGCTCGGATAAATACAAAGTGCCGTTATGTGTAAGCAGTGCTCAATGAGAGCTGATGTTTTTAACTCTTTCCACAATGATCTTTTCTCTCAGAGGTACTTCTGGATACTTGGTTTATATCAGTATTTTGTTACTTGGCTGCAATAATGTAATTGCAAGGAATAAGACATTTGTATTCTATTTATCAACATTAGTAGAAGATGCTTTACTTTGTTTACTTTGGAACTTGAAGCACACGCATCCTTCTCTGAAGATGCAGGAAGTGGACGGTTCTTATTTCCAAAGGAAAAACGGGTGAATGATATGCAGCACAGAGCTCCAGGTGCCCATGAAAGTGCAGGGATACGATCCTGCAGGAACCCAGAGTTGACACGCACTCAAGATGAGGCCAGCTTGTTAATCACTTTCTGACAAATAATGTCAGCGGGTTTCTCTCATGCAATTGATGGGCTCTTTGCGGGCTTCCATGAAAGAGGAGTACTCTTAAAAAAGACCAAGCCATCATTTCTTTAAAAAAAAAATTCTTATTTTACTTCTCACATGCAAAGTCAAATTGTATCCAGAAAATGTTCTAACTTCATCTGTATGTAGGCATTCTGAATACTGAGAAAATGCCCAAGAGCTTAGCACTTAGAGGGTCTCATGTTTTTATCCTATGCCCATCTCCTGCAACATAACCTATATCCTCTATGGCTATGATCAAGGAAGCCTTCAGCAGCTAAGGCACTCAGAGAAATTATACTCACGGTTGACAGAGCTTGACCAGGTCTTGATCAGTGGTGTTGGGGGGCAGGCCTCGGATGTAGAGGTTTGTCTTGCTCAGCTGATCCCATCCTGAGTTGCTACTGCTGCTACTGTTGTTATTACTGCTGGTGGTGCTGGGACTGGGAGGGGCCATGGGGTGCGCTGGGACCAGAGACTGCTGGAAGCAAAAACCAGAGTGTGTCAGAGCGGAGGTAAGGGGTCAAGCACCACTCAGAGGCTATGTGAGCTACAAAAATAAAACAAACAAATAAATAAAATAAAGACACTGAGATTAAACAAAGATTATCCTGAGCTACTGTGATGTAAAATTTAACTTGTAGGAAAAAAAAAAAGATCCATTCATTTTAAGACCAAACCAAAAACCAAAAAACCCCTTCTTTCAACATGAAATGAAAGAACTTTATTCAGCAGTACCTGAAATGTGGATAAATGTACAGATAATCAATTTATTTGTATATTTTAAGAAACATATCTCCTGAGACTCAAAATTAACTTGCATGAAGTCACACGATATCGTCAACTTAATATACAATAATTTAGAAATCACTAGGCTTTTGAAACGGTGTCCAGATTCTGAAGAATATCTGAAAGTAGTTGACTACTTGATTTAGAATACTCTTTAAAAAGAGACCTCTCTTCATATGTAAGAAAGTTAAGAGTTTCATCCAGAGCTGCAAACTTCTAAGTTAGATTCTGGAGACATCTGGATGAAGATCCACCACCTTGGGAACTCTGACCCTGTGAGAATGCTGTGGCAGTCAGAAACCTTTTCTGGAGCACATCTTTCAGAGCCTGCAGTCAGGGGCTTCTCAGGCTTGGCTCTCCAGTTAGCAGACACCTAGGATGGTATCTGAAGCGCACAAACCAGACACTGCTGCTTCGCGAGCTTCTGGAAGGAAACCCCAGCTCTCTGACCCTCTGCCCACGTAAGACTTTTTTTTTTTTCCGATATCGATAACGACCATCGATCGACTGATTGATCAAGTTATCGTCATCAATATCGTCAACACCAGGTGAGATTCGAACCCACGACCCCTGGGACTATAGAGCGGAGCGTTAGGCGTTCCTAGCTGCCTGAGCCATGGCTCCGGCTGCTCACGTAAGACTTTTGAGGAAGTTAAAGGGCTCAGCCTGAGGACAGTGAGTAGGACCCAAACTGTCCTCACAGTCAATGTGCAGAAGGGCAGGGATAGCCTCCTTTCTATTTTCTAAGTAGTAAACATATTAAGCCAAGAGCAACACTTACACACAAAGTTCGAACACACGAACTTAAATACTTGCTAGATACTCAACAAAGATTTTAAATATCGATGCCAGACATTTACAACTACAGACAAAACTGCAAGGCAGATAGGAGAAAAACTAAACGCCACAGCAGCAAAAGCTAATGGCACACATTTACAATAGCCACATTCTTGTTTATCTTGCTAGCCATTCCCGATGGCCACTGCAGACTCCACTTCCTGCACCTAGTTTCTGCCGTGGCATGCTAAGGGCACAACATAAACTGAGAACTCGGAGACTCTTTCTTCTGGTCCTTTACCTTCCTCCCTCCGTTCTGGGTCCCTGCTAAGTTGTCATGCAAACACTTCATCTAAAGAGACTCTTTTAGGAGGGGAGTTCCTGGAAGAATAAACAAAGAGTGAGGAAATTCTACTTCCTTAAGAGCTGAACTTGAACTGGGACTTGCTTCATCCAAATCCCAGACTACCCTGCCTGAGATCACACCCTTCCCCCTTGTGATTCACGCCTTTCATTGGCAGGCAAGTGAATTCACACTTTGTCCTTACACCACTGGCTTTCCTCTAAGGACTAAAGGCACAGGTTTCTAAGTATTTGTAAAAAAAAAATGATACTCAGCCCTGTCCCCTGCTCTGATACAGATGCCACACAAGGATCTTGCCTTTCTTCTCTCAAGTCTCTGAGTATCTCCAGTTACCTACCCACTTCTTCTTGGAGTTGGATTGGGGTGCTAGAAAGGGGCAGTCATTAGCCCCCATCTCCCAAGCTCTGACTGACAAGACAGCTTGTAACCACAGACAGGAGGTAAGCCTGACTTTTCTCTTAAATAGGATGTGATCCGTGCCTAAGATACCATCCCAGAGCACAAGGTGATTGGTATTAACCACAGGACAGAGGATGCCAGCTACTGAACGACACCAGAGATGCGTCAGAGGATATTTGTGCACTGTGGGAAGGTGTATTGCTGATTGGTGTAATAAAGAGCTAAAAGGCAGCCAAAGCTAGGCAGGGAGAATAGGCGGGACTTCCAGGCAAGGGGAGGAACTAGAGACGAATCTAGGTGCACAGAGGAGATGCCAGGAGAGGCACTGGAAACAGGATGGGTGGCATGTGGCAGACACAGATAAATAGAAATGGCTTAAGTTCTAAGAGCTAGTTGAAAACAAGCCTAGGCTAAGGCTGGACTTTCATAATTAATAATAAATTTCCATGTTGTTATTTAGGAGCTGGTGACCCAAAGAAAAATTCATCTGCAGGGATGAAGGGCTAGGCTGTGGTTCAGAGGTAGAACACTTGCCTAATATGCAGAGTCCTGGATAAAATAATTATGTGTCTGCCTGGGGATGACAGCTGTGGCTTGGCCTCTTCCAGTTCCTAGTTTCTCTGTGAGCAAACAGCAGAGGCAAGCATATGTACTAGCAGACATATGAATTCCAAGACTGGGTCCATGCAAGCCCTGATCTTGTCTGACTCTGATGGGGCATGCTGGGCATGGCCTTGTTCTGATCAGAAGAAAACATCTGGGCTATTGTTAATCAGATGACTCTTCAGAACTAAAAGTAGGTTTTCCGTATGCATTTACTGTTGATAAAAGCAAGAGATCAATGATCTGTACTTCTGAATATATAATTGATTTACTGTATGATGCCTGACCATCATCCATATTTTTTAACAATACTTTCCCAGTAAGGGAAGCAGGTAAGGAACCTGGGTCTTCCTGTTGGGCTGCCAATTAGGGTTCAGGAGCTCCCAGAGTTCAGATTCCAGGAAGGACAAGAGGGTACCAAATTCACACATGGAGGAGAGAGAACGAAAGGGTTTTATTTGTTAAATATATATATTTATTTAATTATATATATATATTATATAATTTTAAAGATGAACTATTTAGAAGTCACTGAATCTGGGTTGGGAACATAGCTTAGTAGTAGGCATCCACAAGGATCTGTGTTCAGTCTCTGGTGCCATCAACACAAACAACACACAAAACAAAACAACTCATAAAGCCTGCAAACTCACAGCATAAAGACGCGTCCATTTGCTAAGTGATGCATGCTATGTCCTGTTTTCTATTGAACTCAATAGACAGACAGGTGGAACACTATTCTCTCATTGCAAAGATTAGGAAACTGTGTGTTCAGAGCGTTTAAGCACTGTGCAGTGACACACAGTATCTGAACAGAGATCTGCCAGACAATAAAGTCAGAACCTCCAAAAACGGTCCATCTCTCCAATGCGTCATACTGCTCTGAGTTTCCGTGCCCATCCTCTTGCAACCTAATTACCAAATTCCTGCTACTTTGCAGTGTGACTCTGCTATGCTCGAGGAAAAGGTGCCTGTGGGTTACTCTAATTAGCGCACAGTGAACTAGTGGAGGTAAAAACCCCATTAGCTTGAAAAAGAAGGATTAAATAAATCCTGCTTTATAAATTGTTCCCCTAAAGAATGGATTCTGAGGTGGGGGAGTAAAAGCTTAGAGACAGCTTGGTATGCACATGACCTTAGGTTCAACTCCACACTGGGCAAGAAATGATGAACAGGAGTTAATCTTTGTGTTTGTGAAACAGGGTCTCACTATGGAGGCCCAGGCTAGACTCCATCTCATGATCACTGTGTCTCCTGTACCACTATACCCAGCAAAAGAAGTGATTTTTGACAGTCACAAAGGAAAACATGATGGGGTTCTTTTAAAAATTAAAAATGAGAGTCTAGGGCTGGAGAGATGGCTCAGCCATTAAAGGCTAGGCTCATGACAAAAAATATAAAAATGAGAGTCTAGCATGTGAGTCACATCTAGAATCCCAGCACTTGGGAACCTGAGGCAGGAGGATACAAAGCTGGAGGACAGCCTGGCCTAGATAGTGAGACTCCATAAAAACAACAACAACAAAAAACCATAAACAAAACCAGAGCTATCATATGACCTAATAATCACACTCCATCTAAAGGAAATGAAACCAGTATGCCAAAGCACCATCTGCACTTCCTTGATTACATCACCAACTAACTGTTCATCAAGGCTAACAACCTAAATGCCCACCAAGTGATGAATGGGTGAAAAAAATGTTTACACACTCACACAGTGGAATACTACTTAGCTACTAAAAATGGCATTGTGTTATTTACAAGATCACAGATGGAACTAGAGGTTTTATGGTAAGTGAAATAAGACACAGAAGTGATGCTAACCCTAAGTAAAATCTGAAACAGTAGATCTCGCAGTAGATCTCAGATCAGAATGATGACTACAGGGGCTGGGGAGAGGAGAAAGGAAGGGGCTTGGGGAAAAGGTTATCAACAGAGCTAAGCCACAGTTAAACAGGAGGAAGAGGCTTCAGCGTGCTAGTCCACAGCAGCATGAGGACTGATACCATGAATGAACTGTGCATTTCAGAGGGTAGAAAGGACTTTGAAAGTCTTCAACGCGAAGGAAGGATGTTTGAGGACAGAGGTTTATCCTGATTTAAAAATGATACAGTGGAAAATTTGTTAGAACATCACATCACTCCATTAACAAACACCACTGTGTATTCTAAAGTATCAGCTAAAACAATTTAACTGATAATTTACTAATAAAAACAAATAAACCATTGATTTGATAAAAAAACAATTAAATACAAGAGAATGGCTTCCACACGTCTTCTGAAAGTCACCGAGGAGTCATGCTGGAAATGAGGAGTCAGGCTTTTCAGAATGCTAGCCATGAAATCAGGCAAAATCAAACCTTCACTCATAGACCGAAAGAAACACTGAGTCTTTCACTACAGCCTCATAACTTGGTAAGTCCCAAGCAACTATACTTGCAGAGTACGTGTCTAGAAGGAACAGATGGTAATTTACTAAAATAAAATAAACTTTAAAAGGGTAACTTTTAAAGTTTTTCACCTGCTTGCTTGGTCACTGATGTCTCCAAC